TCCCTGCCAGGAGATTTACAGCTGCCAGGAGCTTGGGAAGGTCACAGAGGATGTGCCTCTGTGGTGCAGTACCTGGGGAACCTGCAGTCCTGCCATGGGCTTGGCTACTCCCAGCTCCGGCAGGCCTTGGATGTGAAGGTGAGTGCTAGGCAGACCAGAGCCCCATACTGTTGTGCAGACCCTGGGAGAGTGCTGAGTACAAGGCCTGGCCAGCTCCTGCTCCCGTAGCTATGAGCATTATTGATTGATGCAGTTGGACAGGCATTATGGAGCTTGGGTGCCCCAAGACTCTTCTAGAGGCGGCGGAATAGTCTCAAAGCATCAGTAACAACAACTACCACCCACTGAGCAGGTCTCCTACACTAGCCCTATGCCAAGCATTGTACCTGCACACACTGCAGCCTTGAATCAGCCCAGCCACTGCAAAGGGAGCCTCTCCCTCTCTGTGGAGAGGCCCTGTTACGCTCCCTACTTTATAGTGGCTCAGAGAGGCCGATAAGCTGGCACCAGGTTGCTGGGAATATAGAACAGCGGTAGTGTGTGCTTGCTTAGTGTATGTTCCATCCCTAGCACAGAAAAACATTAAAAACTTAAAAGGCCAAGGCCAGTGGTCAGCGAGTGGAGATTTGGGCCTGGTACACCCAGTTCTGGAATCTCCAGCATCAGCCTCGGGCTGCTTCCTCAGTTACCCTAGAGGGGTGGCCACCTAGCCCAGGGAGGTCCCTGCAAGGTGGAAATTAAGGAGTTTTTGTCCTGTTTGAACTTTTTTTTTTTTTAAATCACAAGCACATACCACTTTTTTTCTTTTCTTTTACAGTACTGTGGATCGAACTCAGGACCTTGCGCTTGCCAGGAAGGCGTGGTGCTACTGAGCTGTATCCCTGGCCCCACATGTCACTTTGTAGTTAAGGTGAAAAGCTAATTTTTGTTTTCCAGTGCTAGGGATGTAACCCAGGGCTTTGCACATGGTAGGCAAGAGCTCTATCACTGAGATAGGTTCCCAGACCATCAGTTGTTTAATTAAATTAATTTATTTATTTACTCTTGAGACGGGGTCTCACTATGTAGTTCAGGCCAGCCTTGAGCTCACTGTGTAGTCCAGGCTGGCTTCAGACTTGAAGCAATCCTCCTGGCTCAGCCTTTTGAATGCTGGGAATAGAGTTGTGCATCACTGTGCCTGACTCTTTCATTTATGTGTGTGTGTGTGTGTGTGTGTGTGTGAGAGAGAGAGAGAGAGAGAAAGAGAGAGAGA